GCCTCAAAACTACTTTTTTTCTTCTTTTTTTCTTTTTATTAACAGACGTTCATTTTGTGCCAGTATATACAGTATTTACGTATGTACAAAGGCATGACGAGTAAAAGCTTATCGGTTTGAAGTGTTCTTAGATTAAAGGCTCTAATTTTGGAGCACGTGTAATCTTAAAATAGAAATTTGCTACGTTGCACTTGTTGCTACATCAACAGTAAACAATCGTTAATTTTGGGGGTTATGTTTTTTTTTATTATTATTATTATTCAATAACTATAGGGGTTATGTTTTTTTATTATTATTATTATACAATAACTATGGAGGTTGTTTTTTTTATTATTATTATTATACAATAACTATGGGGGTTGTTTTTTTTATTATTATTATTATACAATAACTATGGGGGTTATTTTTTTTATTATTATTATTATTATACAATAAGGCACGGGATTGTACAATAATATTTTGGTTATGTGTAAAGGGTGAGGGGAAGGGGGGTGGGAACGTTATTCTTATATATAATGTTTTATATTAGTTATTGGTTATGTTCATTAAATATTATAAGACTATAAAATTGTTGTGCTGCGCTGTATAATTATAGCTATCTGTAATATTATATTAAAAATGTTTTAATGTTGATTATCTTAAAGTTAGCTTAAACCTCGAAACTACTCGATTCAAGGGGGAATTCTTTCTGCCAAATGGAAAATATTTCACAGCAGATGTTTCGCGCGTGGGGGAACGTAACGTCTTTCCTCGATGATCTCGTTTTACATTAACGAAAAATTGAACCTGTTTCATTGAGCATTGAGTGAACGAGCAATTGAACTGTCTCATCCGTCCCTCACTTTTCCAACTTAATTTCTCCCATTGGGATTAAATTGACACGTTGGTAAAAGAAATTAATGTTTATAACGAATTGTAATAATTAAATAATAATGAAATTTTATTTTTATTAAAATTATTTTATTTTATTAGAATGGTAATAAAATAACAATAAAATTTTATTTCAACGAAATAATAATAAGAATTCTATTAAGAATAAATCGATCAAGTTTCTATATTAAGATTGCATCTAAAATTCACACAAATTCTGCTCTCAAGTATAATATATTCAATTTCATATCGTGATCTTACCTTCTCTTGTTCTGTTTAACGTCTGAATGTTTTCATGAAATGTCTGGCATAAGATTAAGTGAAATATCGTGGAAAGGATGATCAATGAATGAAAAACTTCTAAAGGAAGCAACATTTCATCATTGTTAAATACTCGAATGATAAATAACCCTCCGCTTTCTATCTCGAACCTTACAATCGCCTCAGAAATATTTATCACTCATAGTTGCACAATTCCTTCGATAAACTGGCGGTTTAATCGAACTCAAAGGCTGCCCGTTCGATACTTGAGAAGCATCGATAACTTTGAATAACAAGAAGTTTTCCTCTTTTCAGCGATTCGTAAATAGCGAGAGGCGAAACGTAAATAATGAAATCGTGTATAATGCATCGCTCCACTTTCAAGGTTCAAAGTGCGACGAGGCTTTTTTTTTTCAAAGCGACTCGTATAATGTCAAGCAACATGAACGTTGCCGTTCCGTCGATCGGCGAAGGTTTCCAGCGAAGGTTTCTATCTAAACCATTCGTCTGGAGGCTGCAATTAATCCAGCAGAAAAATGTCCCACGGTCCCCCGTTATTAATTCGAGGGCGTCGCGATGTCGACGGCTCTACTACCAAGGAATTTCATTAGATACAAGATTATGCAAACAAGTGTACCGCTTTGCCTTCGCGCGTCACCTGCAAGTTCGAATTAGGAAGTATCGTAATAACGCAGGGGAACGTTAGGCACAGGACTCGCCAAGTTTCTGCACCTTGAATAAAAGATAAGGCTGAAAGTTAACTCCCTCGCCAGCGAGTAATAATTAGTGGGACTAAACGATTATCCAAAATGTCCCGTTATCTTTTAGAATCTTTTTTGAAGAAATTTGGTTCTTTGACTTTGAAACGAAAAAAAAAAAAAAGAAAAGGAAATAATCGTAATTGAACGGACTTGTTTGTTTCGTTTCTAATTTTAATTCCAACTAACCGTGTAGAATATATTGTATGTATGTATTAAAAATCGGTAGTTTTAGTAGTTGAAGTAATTTGAAAGACGCGTGTTCACCTTGAATGAAAGATAAGAGTAAAAGACATTTTCTTCGCCAGCGAGTAATTAGTGGAACGTTTATCCAAAAGTTTCGCAGGGGATTTTCTGAAAATTTTCCGCTATCTTTTCGAAATCACTTTATCGAAAATAAACTTTTTTTTTTAAGACAATTACTTAGAAAAGTCTCTTCAATTTTCTTTCAGCTTGCTTATCGAAAGTTTCTCGACTTTCCTAAAAAATTTTCCAAGAAATTTTCTAAACATTTTCTACTGTCTTCCAAAATCTTTTTCATCGAAATCAAGCTTTTTCGACTTTATTTTTTGTTTCTATTTCTTGACATGTATCTTTGTCAATTTTTTAATTATCATTTAAAATTAAATTCTTATCTCGAACCTTATGAAACTACATCAGTTTAATCTGGCATATTTAATTCAGGATTATTCTTTTCTATCAGCATCGTTATAAAGTTTCGTGAATTCGTTATTTTCGAGTTAGAACTCTCGTTTTAATAAAAAAAGCGCGAAAGATGTCTCGTTCGTCGCGACGTATGAACGATATTAAATCACGAGATATCTCGTCAGTGCAGTGGTTGCAAAGCGGTTAATTAAGTACCCGCAAAACACGAACCTTTATGACCGCAAAAAAAAAAAAAACCCCCCTCGAAATAAATTTCCCACAGAAATAAAACTTTTGACTTTAATTTTCTGCGACCATCATTAAAAAAAAAAAGTCTAACCTCAGAGGCATAAAGAACCTGTGGTAATGTTTAAGTTTAGAAAGAATTTGTTTAGAATCCACATCAAAGTGGAGCTTTCCCCTTGATCGTGAACTTTCAAGAGGAAATACCTGTGACTGCAAGTTACTATTTCAGGAAATTTGAATTTGTCCACTAATCGAATTCTAAATTACAGAAATTCCTGTGTTTGTCGCAGGAAGTATGCATGGAAACAAATTTTACAAATAGAAATTTAATATTTGGTATTAGACAAAACAACGCTGGTCCACAAAACTTGGAGAATACAACGATCGTTTGTATTTTTCCTTTGCGAATCCATTTCATTTTAATTTAATTTAAATATTAATTTACTTGTGTATGATGTATTAAATTAAACAATTTAATGATATTCAAAATCGAATAAAACGGATGAAATATTAAATTATAACCATTGTTGATCATAGAGATTATTCTGTCGGATTGTTCTGAAAATAAACGATATATGAAGTAATTTCAAAAGAAGATGCATACCACGAATTGTAAATCTGCTTATAGAAGCGCATATGTACAGATTAAAAGACATAATTGCTCTTCATTATCATTGATGAAACATTTAATGAATTATTAACAAAGTATGTTCTCTAACAGGATACAAGCTGAAATGCACAAACTGATTCAAATTTACGAAAGATTTTATATTAAAAATAAATGTAAAGTACGTCGTCTCTTTTTTTTTTCTCAGAATCACGGACAATTCGTCGAAATTACAAATCCGAGGAAGCTAATTGTCTGTCACTTGAGATCGACTCGATTTTGACGTGAAACGCGTAACTCCGTTAATTTTAACTCGCAAGGTGCACGCGAAAATGGACAACATCAAAGAACTTCAATCTTAACGGCCGGTTTACGTTCGTAGCATTTTCCGTGCTTTTGACGAAAAGTCTCGGATATCCCTCGCGTTTCAACGAGGTCGGACGAACATGCGCGGACCTTTAAAATGACGGAAGACGGTGATATATACATATTTAGTTTAAGGTAAACCGATAATTGAACGTGCAACAAATTCTGCAAATCCGGACGGAAAGTCGCGCGTAAATCTCGGAAATTCACCATCAAGCCATTGGGCAAGAAAAAAAAAAGAAAAAAGAGAAAGAAACGAAACTGTGAAGATATCGCGAGATAGAAAAAAAATCAAGACGAACACGTGCGTTAGACTAATTGAACATGAAAGGAATTGGATCCTTTAATATCCGGCGACTCTCTCTCTCTCGACCTCCAGCCCCGTTCACAGCTCGCCGAACGATTAAATTGAATTATAGGTGAAAATTCTCGAACGAGAAACGCCACGCCTTTTTTGAGCTTGGTGAAATTAAAGTCACGAGATACGATCGGCGAGGTGAATCGCCGAACAATCATCCGGAACGGATGTAAACTGTACGCGACTCGATGCGAGGGAATTTCGAATTCGATTGAACGTGTCCGTTCGAAGTTACGGCTTCTACAGTAACGAAATTAATTATTCGGAGTATTCGGCTAATGAAGGGGGGAGTTGCATCGAAATAAGTAGCTTAGGGACGAATGGGCCAGACAGGCGGACAGATAGCCGTTGGAGAAAGCGATGGCTGTCGTTTCTGCCGAATTTCAATGAAATGTAATTAAACGCTTTCCAATATGTTCAATCTCCTAATAACGCTGGGATTGGCGAGTTTTGGGAAGATTGTCGACAACGGAATTAAATTAATTAAATTAAACTCGCGTTGGAGCAAGAGAAACGTGACGTTTCAACGTGATTTCAACGAGAAAAATATGCGTCATCGTTATTTTTCTATCACATAACCGATTGCAAAGTGCATAATTCAATAACAATAAGATTGTACGGTACAACTGTCAGTAATGAAAAATTGTCAATAATTTAAACTGTTGCAACTTCAGCGTGAAAGAAAATCGGTTTAACTTTGAAATTGAAACATTTCATCTATTTCGAGAGTTCGTTTTCTTTGAAGATATAAAGGACACTTCTAAAGAAAAATTTTTCCACGATCGAAATTGCCTTTTTACAACGGTTCGCCGATCATAACGATATTTAATCGGGACGATAAAAATTCATCGAAATTGCTGAAAAGGACGATTCTTGTTGAATGTTGCAGGATATTGGCCATTCGGAGTGCTCTGGTGCAACGTCTACGTGACGTGCGACGTGCTAGCGTGTTCCGCGAGCATAATGCACATGTGCTTTATCTCGCTGGGCCGGTATCTGGGCATTCGGAACCCGTTGAGAACACGGCACACATCTACAAAACGGATGGTCGGCTTCAAGATCGCGGCCGTGTGGCTGCTCGCCATGTTGGTCTCCAGTTCCATCACGGTGTTAGGTAAAATAAATTCCAGCTGACTGGAGATTAACTGAAGATTAGCGGCCCTTATATTTTTAATTCTAAGCAAAATTACAATGTTGCAGTACTATACATTGTACGACGAAATATTACAGCAGAGTATACGACATGTATTCGTTTTGTATCCCTGCTTGCAAGTTTTGAAAAAGGTTGACAGCTAAAAGAGTGGCAATGAGAGCGATATTATAAAATTATATATATTATTTAATAATATATATTATATATTATTAGTAAATAAATAAATATATATAAATAATATATATTACTTATTTATATAATAAATATATAAATAATATATACTATATATTATTAATAAATAAACATATATATATAAATAAAATAAAATATTTATTATTATTATTATTATCATATATAATATATATATGTAATTTTATAATATATATTATATATTATTAAACAATTTTTGTTTCCGTGTATTTATCAATTTAACTGCAGCCAATCATAATCAATCTCAACAATACCTACCGTGTTTCGAAGTTAGAAAAATTGAAAAGATCCTTTACAAAACAAAGAATCTGTGAAGCTCATTTACAACTGGACTTCTTATTTAAGAAGTTAATCTCTCAACCGGGGAAATTCTTCTTTATCCATGTTGAAATAGCTAAAGTTTTACAACAGGTGATTATTTCCTTGTATGTTAATCATCTCGTGATGACAGAATGTATCATCGCGTTCAAAGTGTAGGTCGTTATGACAGAATATGTCATCACGTTTTATAGTGTGTGTCTTATTACCTGATGGTTGAATCGCGTATTCATGATCACTAGGCTGCGAATTTTTATGCGTTTTTAAATTTTGTGCATGAACATAATTAAAGAGATAGGAACTTAATTACAAAAATCTACGGAATTATGATTAATACCCTGCTTTGGATATTTTATATATTTATATATTTTATTTTATTTATATAAATTTATTTATTTCATTTTATTTATATATATTTATTTATTTCATTTTATTTATATATGTTTATTTATTTTATTTTATATATATTTACACAGTACGCACATTGTGTGTATTTCTACTTTCTACCAATGCATAAAAATCTACAGTCTAATCCATAATCATTGCTATTATTACATTATATGCTCCTGTTCAATATATGTGTAAAAGAAGTAACTTTTGTCTCGAACATCTTTTGCAGTTTCATAACGTAAGTTCGAAAAATAAGAGAATTTTCATCCTCTTAGAATGAATTACCGCGCTAAAAGAAATCGCGTAATATACACTCGTGCATGCTCTACGTTTGTGTAAAAGTTTCATAATTTTCTGAACTCCCTGAGATTGGAAATCGTCTCTTGGAATTCGATTATTTCTCTTATGGGATTCGATGGTGTGGAATCGTTCGAATAGTTTCGTTCGAAACAATAATCAAAGTTCCTCTTTTGGGGGAAAGATCATTGCACAAGGGGTGAATCGGATGAATCGGTCTCGAGAAAATCGATTTCCTTTAAGCATTTCACCGAGTGACAGCGTAAACGAGAAAGTTTCATGCCGACTCTTCTTCTTGCCGAAGGCTGCTCGATATTCGAAACTATTTCAAATACGGTGCAATCGAGGTGCGAATGACTCGATAAAATATTACGGTTTTGCTCATATGATGCTCACGTTCCATTATTTACGAACTATTTGCATTTACTGTTTGTCCAAATTGCAATTTTATCCCTCGCATCTCGCAATCAGTGCATTTTTACATTGGACAGATCTGTAAAACGAGGAGTCATTGTAAAAAATATTGTGAGTACCAAATGCGAAATTATTATATTCAGGATATTCATGAGATCGTGATACCATCGGCCAAGAATTTAATTTTACGCTAGAAACAAAATTGGGAAGAAATAATAACTCGTTTTCACTGAAGGCTTCTTGAATTCGAGTGTACTTAAGCTGATTCTAAATTGAAAGAACAGAAAAGAGATTGTTCTGAATGCGAAAATAAGTAAAAAAAAAATGTAGAGAGAAATTTTTTTACAAGATGCTTCGTTTCACAAAAAAAATTTCATTTCAAAATCTACCAAACTATATTGTGTACCAGGCAAATTCTTTATTGATGAACTAAACACGTTCAAGCTCTATTTTCTTGAAGACCAGGCTTTATTCTACATTTCTCAAGTTATTCTTGTACGTAGAATATTGTGTGCTAATTGTAAGTCCATTTTTAATTAAAAACATCTCAACTCTGTTTTTGAAATCAAGGTCCCAAAAGTTCAGTCTACATTTTTCATTTTATTTCTCTCAACTTTCTCATGTCGATCGGTCACTTCTGTTCATTTTACAAAATTCAATATTATACATTTGAAAAGAATGTTCAAACTTTACTTTCTCGACAACGAAGTCTTAAATGAAAAAAATCTTGTTCTTTCTTTTTGGTTTTTACGTGCAGAATATTTTGCATGATTACAGTGACATCCTCTATACTTTTGTAACACATACTGCTTGAAAATGAAGGAGAAACATATTAAAAAAATATATTTTTAAGTAAAAATAATCTAAAAACAGACAGAATTGACATTTACAACGTTTGAAAACTTAAACGAATAACAAATTGAATTTTCTTTGTAACAGTGAAATTGCACAAAGTATTTTCTACAAATACAATTTTCATGAATTTGGGATAGATTGACACAAAGGAAAAGAAGAGCAAAAAATAAAAAATTTTGCGATTGAATTATTGTCCTCAATGATATTTAGCAATAAAAACAAATCGATTTTTTGTGGACAGTTTAAATTTAGCGAACTTTTTCCTTTCTTCTGGAAAATTTGACGATTTTGTCACAAAAATGAAAAATTTGATATTTTCCATAACTCCAAGTATTCTTTAAATCATAAACGTACCGTGGATTTGAATTAGCGGTTCAAGTGAAATCAAAATGATTTTATGGTTTGAGAACCAAAGAGAACGAAGTTGCGTTGAAGACTTCATTTTCGAAAAAAAAATCGAGTTTAAAAACTTGTTAAGCGTACGTGAATTTGCCTAATCCCCGACTAGATAGGAGTCGAAAATCGATAGGAGATTGCTCTACGTGCGAAAATAAAAATAAAGTTTGGAAGTGTAGGGTAAAGTTGTTTCGTTGAAAATTTTTGGAGAAAATGGAAATCAAATATATTTAATCGAAAATTAATTTGCTTAGCACATACACGTCTGCTAAGCAAATTTTCAAATTCAATCTTCTCAAAGACAAGGTTCCGGGAAAAATATTTTACTAGGCGTTTTTTCGAACAGTTTTTTCGCATTTTTCTCGATCAAAATTAATCAGGTACACGTGTACTTCATAAATATTAAATTTCTTTTTAAGTTTTAAAAGGCTCGCGCGCATAGTGCAAAGCAGGTTTTTAATAAAGAAGGGAAACTATTATTCGTTCTGGTGAGTGGACAAAGGAGTATAAATCGGAAAAGGGGGGAAAGCATAATATTTGCGTATAAAGTGTAATGCAAGACTACGTGTTAGATTTTGGATATGAAAGTTAATAACATACGTCTCGTCTCATTATACAACTTACAAAAAAATATGCAGCAGACTGTTCTATGTCTAAACTGACAGAGAGACAACAGTATTTGATTAGTGGAATTTTCGAATAATGAAACAATCATTTTTCTAATATTAAATTGCATTTATCATTAATTTCAATATTTAACAATTTTACATTCTTTTAATTTTGTTAACATAAATATGTACATTTTATACATGGTTCGAATTATCTTTGGTTTCGGTGAAGACGTGTCCTCGTTATTTTCATTTGCTATTTTAGTTTTATGTCATAAAATTATATATATATATATATTTTTTAATAAAATTTTCACTCTCATATCTTGGTTGTGTCATAAAAAGACACTTGTCATTTATCGTAATAAATATTCTGTTCAGATGATAGAATGTTCGGATATTAGAGTATTTGAATGCAGAAGACTGCACTGCAAATTACTTATTTTTTTAAATAATAGCTCCTATTATTACTTTGACCAAAATTTGACTTTTACTCTTTCGGCCACCCACCAGAAAATTGAGCTGTTCGCTGTAGACTGCGACAAACTTTTCGATCGTGTAAAAATAAACCCATGTATTTACGTTTCCTCTGTAAAACCGAAAATTGTTAATTAAACGTCAGTGCTAACGTCAACGTGCATACTCCACGATAATGAACAGGTAAAAAACAAATTTCATACATCTCGTGTGTGCCCTAATTTAACTACGTGTACACAGTGTTCAGATTTCACTCTGAATCAATCCCTCTATCACTCCTACAGAAAATTACAGTCATCAGAAACTATGTGAACGATCGATCGAGGTTACTGTTGGTTTTTCAGGTATAATAAATCCTTTGAACATTATGCCTCGGCAAGGAGCATGCGTGATCAACAACAGAGCGTTCTTCGTATTCGGTTCTTTGATTGCCTTCTACATCCCCATGATTGTCATGGTGGCCACGTACGTTCTGACAGTGCAGCTGCTCAGGCAGAAGGCTCGTTTCGTTGCAGAGCATCCCGAACGGGATCAATTTCGAAGGTTGGGAGGCAGATACTTCTCGACGAAGGCTTCCTCCACTACTTCGGTTACAGAAACCACCACATCGTCGTCGTCTACGCGGTACACGTGGAGGACTTCCGGTGTCGGAAGCGAAAGGTAAATAAACCGAAATACCGACTGTGGATAGCATGTACTCTCAATTGGAAAATCACAGGGATCGAAATTGTTAATTTTTATAAGCAAGAGTTAACTCGTGAGTTATCACTTTTCTGTTTCAAGTTAAATTTCGTACTTCGTTTTAACGATACAGTTTTAACAGTCATTCAATCACTAACCGCGCATGATGAGATATTTCGTCATGCCAAGAATATATACTTTCGAGAGGAGAGATTTATTTCAAAATGAAATGGAAAGAAACAGATCGTGAAATAAAAATTTCGATATTTTGTAATTTACTCTTTAACAAAAAAGACAATTAACAATATTAATAGTGAATAGTTGAGTATAAAAAATAGCCAATAATTAATAGTCAAAAGAAATTAAAACATTTGAACAGTTTTGTTCGATATCTAGGAAATTATTACCATCCAAATTGACGATTTGATGTATTATAAAATTATTCCTAGTTACCAGTCGTAATTATCTTTTATCGTGCATGTAGAAGTTTCGTTAGAACGTTGATAAAATTCGTATGTATATATATATATGAATTTTACTCCATTATACCTTTGTCATTCTTTCATTTTACGACGAACGTTTGTAACTTTCTCTTCCACTCTTTTCGCTATCTTTCTCATTGTTAGAGTAGTAGGACCATGCACGTGCATACGCATATAGCGAGTCTCAGCCGTTTAATTTTCTATTCTCTTTCAGTTTCACTTGGTATCTTCGCGTACATTTTCTGGTTTTAATCTTCCTTTCAGGGCCCCGGCTAAAAGCTCGGCTGTGTCCGAATCTTCGCACATCTCTTCATTTTTACTTTCATTAACTTTTTCATTACTTCTCCTCCACATTCATTTTTTCTTCCTTCCTCCCTATGCATATTTCTTCGCAGCAATTCTCGTTAATCGCCCCTCTGCTTTCGTCTTACCATTTTTTCCCGCTAAACTTATTCGCGCATGTTACACGAACACGTGGCTAAATAGCTAAAAATTCATTGGAACATTATTCTTTAATTACGGGAAATCTTTAATTACGTTATTACTTACGTTTGCAGGCTCGAGATGTAAGGAATTTACATATTCTGCATTACAATAAATATTTTATCAATCGTAGAAACATTTTAGAATACAATAAAATAAATTTTGAAAATAGCGGCTTCAGGATTCAAAATCCACAGTCCAGACTTATTGTTGAAAGATTTGTTTTTCTCTCTTTTTCTTTAACAAAATTATAACAGTTTAAATTCTTAATATCCGATTATCAATGGTGGACAAGTTTCTTGTCGCTTTCTATCTCAATTGCATTCATCTTCGTTTCGAGCTACGCACGCAAATGTCATTAACGCGCGAACAACCGAATGTTGCTGATCACTGCGCCGTTAAGTGAGCGACCGGCTCTTTAATCGCGTCAATTAACTTAATGCAGTATCTTCGTGCCACCGTACGTAATTCAACAGTCCTGCAATTCAACAGACGCATTAATGGAATTAAAAATCTTTGTTGTTAGTCGTCTCTCATTTCACTCCGCGATCCGCTAAATTGAAAGGGTTGAGACAAAATTACTGGGATAAAAAATTGCGGTTAGAAAAAAGCCGGCGTGGAAAAAATAAAAGATAGTAGCGCGATCAATTTTTCCTTTTTTTTTTTTCTATTTTATTTAATCCCGCAGGGAAGTGGTTAGTAGCGTGGTCTCCTGTTGGCAATTTGGCTCCCTCGTGGTTTTCGCGCTTATAACAAAAATAATTACGGGTAAACGGTGCATTTTTCTACAGAGAAAGATGTGACACAAAGTTGTCGCTAGTAATGAACATAAATATATAGTAGATCCCATTGTTCGAATGTTTTATGTTCTATTATTTGCTTTTTCTTGCACTAAATCATTCTATATGATTATCATTACATGTTTGACACGTTCTTCGCGATTGCAGAACTTACTAAGATACGAGATACAAGATTTTGACCTAAAAAAGGATAACAGACGTTTCGTTTATGAGTATAAATTTATCTTAGATATAATTTTCCTGCGCACTGAAACGAAAATGACGAGGGTGTGCCTTACGAAAAGAATGTAACTCTACAGAAGTACGTACACGCTTAGCAATTCAACAATTTAAAAATTATAAATACGAAAGACGGCGGATCTTTTTCATAGACAACGAAACTTAATATAACTGCTCGACTTCTGACCTCTAATATAATACCAAAAAATTATTTCCACGACTTTCGTTATGGGGCCACGTTACATTGACAATCTGCCGACTGACGAAACAAATTTTAAAATGAAATTAAAAACTGGTTGGGCGAACAGAGGACGTTGTTGAACTATTTAACCGTTCCGACGAAACTCTCCATGCACGGTTTATTAACGCAACATTGCTGTCCGCAAGGACGTCCACGCAATTCGCTGCGACCGGTAACTTGTTCTCACGAAACGGCGGTAGTTTTGCAGTTTAACTGAATTAAACGCGGGGGTTCTCTGTCCCGTTGCAAATATCACAGGTGCAAGAGCGCGAGGCAGAGCAAGCACCGACCGCAGCTGAATTTCGCCGTGAACGGCGCGAGCAACCCGACCGGAAGTACGACCGGGACGAAACTGGCGGCGAAAGTGGATCAGGCCACACAAACGCCGGAGAACATAGCCCGCGAGACAAGGAACTTCACTCTGAGGGCCCTCAAGCTGCAGCTGAACGTCGCCCCCAACACCTTAAATCTCAGGTAGATTTCATTCTCTCTCTCTGTCCTCTCGATCGTTGTGAAATATTCGGTACACGACGACGACGAACAAACTCGAAAGAAAAAAAAAAAAAAAAAAGCGCTCACTTTGACGGCTCGTTCGAGAGCAATTTCCCAAATTGAGCAAATCTCGCGGGATTAACGAAGTTGGACCATGGAAAATTCAGTCTTGATTGGGACTGTTCGTCTCGAGACCGATGCCACGTTTTCCTTTTAATTTCGGGGGACGTTGAAAAATTATCGATACTTTGAGATACTTGTAACTTCGTGAAAAAGAATCGTATAGTAAAGTGATCTTCAATCTTCAAGATTGAGACGAGTTTATGGAAACGATTTTTTTCGTATTGTACATGTTATCCCGATCTCCTTCTTGCATTTTCGTGAAGAAAAGATATTTATTTCTGAGATGAAGTATCTTTGAAATCGTGTAAAAATGTTTTTGAAAAAAATGAATTCGATATCTCCATCTCCAGTTTCTCTAGCTATTCTTTAGATAATTTCTCATTGAATCAACGAATACTTTCCACACTCATCGCAGTGCTGGATATTTTCGAAAACTGAAATATGATAGAATTATTGTAGAATTGATAGTAAACGAATAAGAACAAAAAGCACGCAGGCGTTGAAATACTCCAAACGTTCAATTAAATATAAATTGTTAACAAATGATCGTTTCGTTATAGATGTTAATTTTGTACTATTGTGTCAGTTTAATAGGGACAAATCAAGTTGGAGAAAACGAGAAACTAACGAGAATTAAGTACCACGTAGGGTATAAAGGATTAGAAAAAAACCTTAAATGTCCGCTGTTAGAAGAATTCTCTCTGTTTCTACTTCCACAGCTGCTGTTCCAATTGATAATGACAACGCGAAATCTTTCACATAGTTCACGCGACGCGTCACGATCGATTTCGAGGGAATTTACTTCACCGTCGAAAGTTTCTCAATCTATCTCTGCCTCGAAGTGTTCGTTACATCTCGAATAAAAAAAAAGTGGAATCAGAACGATGCGCGACCAATTTTATCCGGAACGTTTGTCGGCCCATTGACAAAGTTTAACAGAGCGAGAGCGACGCCGCCGGCTGGCAGATATCGTTGGCCCATCAAAATCCTTGAAACAGGATTGTACGTGAAACGAATCACGGCCGCGAGAGACACGAGAGGATTAGTCCTGATGGCACGAAAAGCCATTTGCATGTGCAAATGCTGACCGATTCGAGACGCGGCCGTTTCGCGAATTTCGAATCAAAACGGACAAACACGGGAATCCTTGTACTTTTGGGTGATTGCACGTCTTGGAATGATATTTGTTTCCAAAGTGGAGGCCTTCGGGCGAGAATCGTTGTCAGATTCCGGAAGGCGAGGGCCGAGTAAAAGCAACGCTTTTAAAATCTCGATAGGAGCTTTTACTCAGCAGTTACACGTTTAGAGTTGTCCCCGACAAGCGTTGTATAAAGTTAGACGGAAAAAAGAGAACAAAACTATTGAGCTACTTTTACGGCTGACATATGATATATATAATTGTATTGTGCGTAATTAATCGAACACTTGGTGAAATTTTATCGAAAGCTTGATGCTTTTGCAACGTTTTGTTACTGACGTTCATTTTCTGCACTTTTTCAAGTTTCGTATTCATTTTGAATAAATAAGATGCTCTGTGCGAACTTTTTCGATCTGATTCACATGTCGTTTCCGTTCGAAGAAAGTGATAAGAGACGCGAGTTATCGTTTTAAAAATGTTACAGAGATTGTCCCTGACTGATTACGAGAATCTTATTCGTTGATCTTTATAATTTGGTAAGAAGGAATACAATAAAGGAAAATAATATCTAATTCTGTTCAAAATCAATCGCTTTCGCTTCTTCTCAGAAACTTACTTCCTCAAGTTCTGCCGCTTTCTTCGCGAAGGCACGATGTTTCAATCGTTCCAAAATTTCAATAGAATAGACAGACATACATATAAAATCATTCTGCAGAAACTTCAGTCAGCTAATTATTATATTATAATATTAACTATTCTTTTTATCGATATGTTAATTGAAGATCATTAATTTAGTAATATATTGTATTAAATTAAGATTAAATTAAAGAGTACGCACAATAATTTGCATATATATATTTTTGGAAGAGGAGCTCAAGAAAGAAATAACATGAGAGAATCTAGGGAAAATGCAAACGTGCACAATGACTAATATTTGAAAATAATGACTATTCGCGATCGTGATTTGGCGTTTGCAAAAAATTACGTCGGTGATCTAACGTCCGACATATCGACAACTATATAATATCTGAGAAAGTCGAATGTCCGATATACCGACGGTCTCTCTCTTCTTTCTGTTTTCAGTAGCTTGAGCCTTTATTTGATTTGATTAACTTCGAAAATATCGGACCTACAATAATTTTATATGAAAATATGTAAAATTAAACTTCGCCTGGCGATTTAAATTCGTCCACAAGCGAAGAGGGATTTAAATGTCCTTAGAAAGTTAATACGTAACATCTTGTCTAGGAGGAACTTCTTCCCCAAACTAATTTCAATATCAATATTGTAATGAATACCAACCGCAATGTCAGCGAGATATTATGAAAAAATTCCTCCGCGACAGGTTCGGTTTTCATTCGGAAGCTCAGAAAACTTGTAATTTCCAGGTTTCTCGCGGGACGAACGAAGAGAAGATCGTTGGCTGCGAATGCCGTGGCAACGGAGCAAAAAGCCAGCAAAGTGCTTGGATTGGTTTTCTTCACGTTCGTCCTCTGCTGGGCGCCATTTTTCCTCTTGAATATATTCTTCGCTGCCTGCCCCGAGTGCTCGGTACCGGTACACGTGGTCGACACGTGCCTCTGGCTTGGTTACGTGTCCTCCACTATCAATCCGGTGATCTACACGATCTTCAACAGAACGTTTAGGGCTGCGTTCGTCAGACTGCTTAAGTGCAAGTGTTCAGGGTGAGTGGAAGTTATTTTGTGTTTATTTCAGGTGATCGAAGTTGAGTCGAACGCTGTGGGAAAGAATTTTATATAGAGTAGTATTGACTCACGTGAAGATATTAATGCCACTGATTTGTCGTACAGGGCTCGACGAGGTCTGTCAATTTTTAAATTAATCTTCAAGTGGTTAGTTTAAGTTCCATTTTAATTTAATAGCTTGAGTTTATGTTCAATTTGCACCGAATTGTATATAAATTCCTCTCTGCAGAATCAAAAGCATAACGAGATTGTAGAGAATACATAAAATTCCAGATAATAATAAAGATTATATTAACGTATGGTACAATTAGTAAAATAATTGGAATTAAATTTGAAATTAAATGGAACTAAACGATCCTGATGGTCTAAACTAGAAAGACTCTACATCTACTGATCATTGAATTAGAATCAGTTAATATTTTTAATGTTTTACATGTTTTTAGTAGAATTGGAGGATTTGAGGAAAATTTAATCACAAGTTTTATTAATCATTGAGCGACGATATAGTACTAATAATTAATATCTTATCATACATTATTATTCTTATTATTTATTACCATAAAATGTATGTATATTGACAAATGATTAAAGGGTACTCTGGATTTCTAAAAGTGTATTATTACACTGTAAAAAAAAAAAAAAAAACACAGTAGATATGATAGAATAGTGGAAGTACCTATGAAGTGTATATCTCAAGGGGTGCATGATGAAAAAAACAAATGAAAGAAACAAAAATTACTGACTTAAAAATGTGCAAAATTTTGCAATTACTTTGGTAATTAATTGAAACGAAACTTATTAAGCTAAAAGTCTTCAATCTTACTAAAAAACACGCAAGACGTTGACAATTGAGAATGATCCTAATTTAGTGGTCAGGAGATTGTACCCTCCTCTCGCAGAAATTATCTTTTCACTCAGCGTTCACTCAGATAAATTTTCAAGTCTCGACTCAACATAACAACCTCACTTCGTTCCTTGAAATTCCATCGATCTCTCTTTGTTTCTCGAAGTTGCCAAGTTTCGCTCAAAGCTTCCACGTACTTCGTCGAGTACAGAGAAAAAAAAGAAAAAGAAGTAAACGAAATAGACATCAAAAGAGGATCCACGCTTTCCTTGAGAAAATTTCTTTCTACGAGAAGTAAACCGATCTACGCGAAAATATCAGCAAAGGACACAGAGGACCGGAGAGTATGGGAACGAGACATCGGGCTATTAAATCCCGTAGCACGTTCCACGGTCCTATCGTAGACGGAGCGGAGAAAGCTCGGGGGACGTTTCTCTAACGTTTCCACGACCTTATTACTCTTCTTTAATATATGTACCTGCAGGGAGAAACGTTTTCTAGGTCAGCGAGGCCGGCGAGATATCGCTCGGTGACGGAAGGTGGACGCAACGCGATGAGCCTGTGCACCCCGACCGCACTTCCATTGGTCATTAGTCTTCAGGGTACGCCGCTGTTGACGCCGACACCGAATCCGACGGCCACGCCGGCCTCAGGAAGCTCCTACGTGACGGTGATGCATCGCACGCCAACTTCCCTTTACCGTGACACTTTCCATCAGCACGAGCACGATCAGAATTGTTGAGGAGAACAAAGTGTTCCAGGAAACGCGATCCAGCGCCACTCGAACGTCTATGATTCCCTTTATCGAGGCACTTGTTCCTCGACCTTGCTTCGCGAGTGCATCGCGGGGGCCGGTGCTCGTCGAAAGTAGCAACCAAGTCTCAATGAACACGGGTCATTAATTTCGCGGTTGGACACTATTTTTGTCAGTAACGAAACGTTTACGTGTGGTAACGTCGCACACCTCAGCTTTCGTGCGTACCGTTGCGGAAATCGAACGTCAGCGGACTACCATTAACGCTGGGAACTACCGATGATTTATTTCTTCTCTTCTCTTTTCTTTTTTCTTTCCTTTGCGAATGTTTCTATTCTGTACGTGCAAAACATTTACATTCTTTTAGCAGGTGTGAGAATAATAGTGGTCAATCTTGGGGATTTCCGTCGGAGATAAATTAGAGAAACTTTATAATACAATGAGGGAGTGCACGAGCTTTTATTTGCGCGTTTTACGAGAAATTACTTAAATCTCACTAAAAATCTGCAAGTCTAACAAAAATTACGAGCTGATCGTTGTTTTTGATTATTTTGGTAGTTCTAGTGTTAATGAAGTTAGGAGAGGTGACAAATATGTACATCCTTCTGGCCAAAATTATGAATAATATTAATACGTATGTTTATTCATACAGCGTTAATACAACATGAGTTTATATCTCTTTGGGTCGATTTCAGATACAGACTCTATTATTGAAAATTTAAAGTAAATGGAATCGATTAACTATGAAATGATTGTTAGATCCATGTTGATTAAGATTTCTTTTCTTGCTCGTTTTGATTAATGTTACATGCTCCTAAAGAATTTAATCGAAACTTAAATCTTTGACTGTATCTTTTGTTCATATACTGTTAAATTTTTGTAGTAGGACTATCATCAATTTGAAGGATAATTTTTTATAATGGAATATATTTCTTGTGAAATTCTTTCAACTTGGTCGAAACGTGGTCCAAAAGTTTTAACTTTTCATGTTGGATAAATTTAAAGTACAATAAAACAAATTTTGATTGTCAACTCGAAACAATCCTATTTGTAATAGAATGGTTTCAATTAGACAACTGAAAATTCGATCCAACACTCGTTTCGACTTAATTTTTTGGCTGTTTTGATCGATAAAATTTCTATCAGAAATATCATCAATTTGAAATTTCCTAATAGACATTTCAACTTGATTTCTTGCGTCAGATAAATAATTATTTCTATTAAAAATATAAATAACGACACAGTTTAAAAATTGTTGATATGTCACAATCTTTTATGTTCTATAAAGATTTTTTTTTAACAGAGATGTTTCCAAAAATATCTTCGAAATTCGACCCGAAAAGTTTCGACCTAAATTCTTAATAAAATTCCTCTGTCAAAGATATTGTCAAATCGAGTTGGAACAATTTCCTCGTTCAATTTCATCTTCAACGGGTGTGCGTACTCTCCGTGTATTATATATGTGTAAAGAGTAGGAGTAAATTAAACTGGGAAATCTCCGCGGGACAATAGCGAAATAAAAATAAGAGATAAATACGAAAAAAGGACTGCAAATCACTCGCAGCTATTTGTTTTTTGCTGTTTGATCGTAATGCGAGCGTTTGAGTGTTTTATCGTAGCCGCGAATAAAAAGCGAACAAGACATTTTCAACTGACGTTGACACGACAATGGATGACATTGACGTTGATACCTGGCGCAAAATTTCCCTCTCCCTCCCCCAACCTCACCCCTTGTGTCTTTTCATGCTCAATCGTGGCCAAAAGAAAGCCAGCCAGAGAGAATTGTGTAATCCCGAGCTACGAAGGACATATGTTACTACGTGAATGTGATAAAACTCTTTGTATTCATTATTTCCTTTTTTCGTGCGAACGAATGCAAACAGATTGATGTTCAGGTGTTTCGTTGAGCCAAAGATTATCCTTTTAAATCGAAACGTATACCTGTAGCGTAAGTATGGTTGTTATAAAGAACTAGTAAGTAAAACTGCATGGAATAAAGAGGGATATAGCGACGTACCGATTCTCTCATTGTAACGATCGTACGAATTCTTTGTTCACTGATCCTACGCTACTTTCTCTTTAACCCATCAAGGACCAACGTTACGTTCCCTGCTAATTCTTTTCAATCGATTTGTATCATTAAACACAATGTTTTCTATATCGTAGCTGTGACAAGAAGTTCTGTATACTCGTTTTTAATATTCTCTCGTTGCTATGTCTTCGACAGTCAGTCACGAATGTCTACATTATACATCAGAGAATATTTGATCCTGAAGGTGTACAAAGTATTTTCTTATTTATTGTTACAATTATAATCAGACTATGTTTTCGATTTAAACAAGAGTGAGTTTAGAATTTTAATTAACAAATTAATTAAGATCCATATAAAATGTCCAAAATCTTTCCTGTTATCTGTCTTAAATATTTGAAATTTCACAAATATGTACGTATCTGTGACTGGCTGGTAGGTTCTACAATTTTACAAAATTTCAAGAAATCGAATTAGTCATAACATCTCTGTAATTTGTAGCTTGGTTCTTAATGGGTCAATACACGCCGATAAAAATACATACTATCGTCTGTGATATCGACGGAAAAAATTTCTTTACCCTGCTGTGGGCGTAGAAATTTGTCCGTAGAAGAGTTATTTAATTAATAAAACGATAGCCAGAATGAACAATGTCAAACATAGCGTTCCGTTTGTCTAGAACCTTGTCGACTTCGAAACCCAACATCTTCGAAAACTTTAAGAAAAAAAGTCGACGAAACCATAGTTTCCAACCAGGAACAAAAGTCATTCCCACTTTACTTTCATTTGTACTAACTTTTATTTGACAAATAAAAAGTATCCATTACAAATAATTGTAAACTGTATATCTTATATAATACACACATCGCGATACGAGCGAGATTACGATTTTCTCTCTCTCTCTCTCTCTCTCTCTATTTCTCACACTTTCGTGCATATATTTTCATTTTAATTGTGTACACACGCCACTCTCTCCCTCTCTTTCTCTCTCTCTTTCTGTTTCAACTTTGTTCAACCCTGCATTGATTACAATTACAAACTTTCTTCCATCGTGTCTTCCCTTGCCATGCACACACACGGAAACACACACACCAGTTTCTCTCTCTCTCTCTCACGCATTTCGTGTGTGTATATGTATGTATATGTATTTATGTATGTCTCTCTGTTTTGTTGCCTGTTTCTCGTCTCTAACTCTTATTACGTAAATCGATCTCGGGGCAATGAGAAAGCATCCCGCCTCTCTTCCAAGGAAAAAGAAAAAAAAAAAAGAAAGGACGAAAGGCGCCATCAATTCGCCAGTCGCGGGAAAAAAGAGACGAATTTATCATCGACACTGTGTGACGACAACGACGAAATAAAGAAAAAAGAAATTGCACGTCGCGTGGCAAAAACTACGAGCGCTTCGTAGGGAAATGCAACGAAACATTTGGAACTTTCGAGGAAATCGCAATTCAATCCCCAGGTAAATGCCGATGGCTCGGCAGCGCGGAAGAAAAATGAACCGAGTATAAATCAGAATCGCCGTGGCGAACGGAAGAGAAGTCCCGCCAATGGTAGACGTTTCTCATTTCCCCCGACACCGCGAAAAAGACGGTACAATCGATCGTGAGTCGAACGAAAATGCACGCGCCTCTCCTGTTCGAGATCACGCGGACGTAAATGGTTTCCTTTCCATTTCACACTTCTTTTCATACATCTTTTTTTTTTCTTTTTCTTTCTTTCCTTTTTTTCTTTTTTTTTTTTTTACTTTTTCTTTGTTTTTGATCTTCGAGGTGTACACGACGCTTGCGAGAGTGGACCGTCGGAAAGAGGAGGGTGGCGGGGCGGAGGGGTGGTGGATTCGGTCATTCTTATTAAACCTAAGAGAAGAGGGCGGCTCCGTGTGACGACCGGCGCCGGTCGTTTGATCGAGATGCGTTAAAAAAATGCCCTTCGTAGCGTCATCCAAACCCATACTTTTTTTTTTTCTTTTTTCTTTCTTTTCTCGGGCTCGCGATTTCGCTTCTTTTCTTCTATTTCCGTTTCGTTACGTGGCTAGATATACTATCGTGGAACGGAGAAGAGAGAGGGGGTATTATATAAGGATGTTGACAGTATCTCCTGTGGAGGAAGGGAAAGAGGGCGAGTTCGTTCTAATTCGAGGGCGGCTTTTCCTCGTTTTCGTCAACCTTGCTTCTCCATTTTCGATGGATCTGTCTTTCGAAAGTTCGCGCGCACGCACGCGCCCTCGTTCGAGTTGCAACCCCCTAAAAGAGAACAACCGTGTGACTCGTCGCTGGGCGCAACATATAAAAGTCTCGGAGGAAACGTGATGAAAAATCGTAGGGGTTCGAAGTATCGCAAAGAGGACTCGTGACAATTTACAAGGAAATTTGGTTAATTTGTTTTCTGCAAGACTCGGGCATCGGGCGTGCCACGCGAACGGATCATCACGGTGTTCCCTTTCGGAAGTACGAACCTGATATTCGATGTTTGTCAAACCTTTCATTTGGATACACTGGATATCCCGTATAAACGCGATAAAATTTTCCTTTCTTTTCGTCGCTTCGTTTACTCTTCTTCTTCGTCTTCTCGCCGGCGATCATAAGATACAGAGACTTTTTGTACGTCGTGAAAAGTGACGTATATGTAATATAATATATATATATGTATATGTATATATTATAGCGCATTCGTCGTTCTTAAGGTTCTAAACATTTTTCAAGTATGCCTTCAGTTTCCATTTAAACGTGTTACCTATTTAGTTTCTAAGACGCAGCATCGTCAGACTTCGTTGCAAGTTTCCCTTTTGATTCAACATCTCAATATTATATAGCGATATTTCCCAATGGAGTTGCACCTCTCTAATAGTGTAGCTTTATCGCTCTCTATTATTAGAATTCTTACACGCTTAACAGTTATACCGCGGAAAAAATGGGTCGCCAACACTCGTTCACGCGCTCGATTTGTGAAATTCATCAGAGTGTTTACGATTAATGCAAAAATTACTCTTCTTAACCTTACGATAGTTAATAATAATGAAGTTATCGTTAGTTAATGCAGCAGTAGCAGATGGTCGTTTGACGATTGGAAAAAGGGAAGCGATATCGTTTGCGATTTTTTATCTCCTTCTGTATTATGTTTCTTCTCGCTTTCGTTTCCGAAATGTATTATGTACAAAAAATTTCCGCGCATTACGTAGCGTTTCTCTTCGGTCACGGTTCACTCGACAATCTCTCCCTCCCTTCGATCTTTACCGCTACATTTTCCAGATTTTCAGCTTCTGTCTGATATTTAATCATTTGCTGTCAGAAACCACCATCGATCTTGCGAAATTTGCGAATCTTTCTCCAGAATAGGAAAGGAAGAGTTTCTTTCATTTTTTTGCAAGGTTTCTGCAGCAAAACAGCGAAGAACAAAAAATACAGAGAACATGTGCGTTTTTATGTTTGACTTCTACAGGGATTAGAAAAAAAAAAAAAAAATTGGAAATAAAACGAGTGGGAAATAAAAGAAGAAAAAAAAAAATGATTGTATCAAAGCTCATCCAGAGCTATGAAAAAAAGCACACGATATAAAATGTTTGGAAAAAATAACTAAAAAAAAAAAAGAGAAAAAATGCATAAGATCGAGAACGATCTCAGGCGTAGAAACAGTGCTGTTCTTTGGCCTTTTTCGCTCGAGGAGGCTATTCCTCGAATGCCAATTCCAAGATTCTCAGCTCGTGAAGGCAGGCAGACGAGTGTTTCATTACGAACTTATTCGTAACTCCGTATAATCAAGTGGAAAAAGTCTATAAAATAGACTGTCTCTCCTTGCTCCTTGCTTTTTGACCGATTAATATTTATTGAGAACATTTTTTTTTCTGATTTCATTTTCTTTTTCTTTTTTTTTTCTTTTTTTCTTTTTTTTTTTTTGTCTCGCAAATGCACAAGGAGAAACGCCAAGCATATGTGATATTATTTTGTTTTTTTTCTTTTTTTTCTTTTTCGATGAAAAAAGGCTTCAAGAATTCTCGTCGTATTATTTTTGTTTGTTTAATCGGTCTTCATTTTTCGCGCGAAGAAGTATCTCTAAAAAAATTATAAACGCATCTTTGGCTCCCCCCGAATGCTTCCTTTACACCACATTTTAATAATGGTCTGCATTCTCGTGCACGCTGCAACAAAAGATCACCAGAAATATCTTATTAGTAACAGATAACTAATATTCGTACGATTGGTTGAACCAATACAGCTTAACTTGTAAAATGATTAGTCGATATGTACACGCAGACAGAATTGATGAAAAATTTTGGATACATTTTTACTGCATTTCTATTTCACATCTACGTGTTAATCTTTGAATACTTTCCCACCATACTACATAATTCCCTGTACACAATGTGCCAAAATATTGTATGTTGATATTTAGATCTACGTGTATCCCAATTTTTAATCCTTAATATATACCATTCTTCTTATTTCAATCATTTTTCCTTCATACCTAGGCTATTTCTTACATCAAAAGTATAACAAACACACGGTATATTAACTACATTTATTTCCATCTATCATTCAAACAACACACGCAATCCCTAATCTTATTTTAGCCACAGTCAGATCCGACTTGTTAAAAATTTACTTCAAATTCAGAACACGTTCCCTGCGACATCCACGCGTAATACAACAAGAGATGTCTGCTGTTCGTACAAGCTTGAAAGAAAGAAAAGTTACTATTAGATTGCGCAACGCGGAAGATGGTCACGCGAACGATGGAGGCCGCCAGCGGGATTTGATGTTAGTTCCAGAAAAGCAGGAGATTCTTGGGAACAGAAGCCGACGATCGCGAGCGCCTTTGTAGGATGATTAGTGATTCTTTGTTATATCGAAAGTAGAACAACAAAATCACTAGTCTTCCATGCAACGGCGCTCGATATTTTTTCCCCCTTTGTTTGTTTAACTCTTGCTGAGCTTTAAGTGGTAGCAGTAGCAGTAGCAGACGTGTGTTTCTCCAACCTTGTGTCCACCTTCGACTTCCTTCACCTTCGCGACGATCAAACCATTTTTCCACGCCTGTTCTCACTTTTTCTCACGTTTTTCTTCTCGGTTTTGGTTAGTTCGGGGACGTTTTTGGTTAGTTCTTCGTGCGGGATGAAGTGCGATTCGATGCGAGCACAAGCAGAAGTTAGTCTCTCCCTCTAAGTCTCGGTGGCGATTTCGCTTGCCGGAAGTTGGACGCTCCTGGACGCGCGACGACAAGCCAAAGATGTTAAAAGCGATGATGTGAAGAGCGATTTGATATCCGAAAATCAATTTACCGTTTCGTCACGCAATGTCTGGGCACGAGCCTCGATTGCAATTTACAAACACGTCCGTGCAATCTTTTCAGTTTGTTCGACGTTCAACCCCTTAAGGACTCGCTGAATTCCAACCCTTCGAGCGCTCGAAACTGTCAAACGTTGAAGAGTTTAACACTGAACGAGAGATACGAAACAAGTTGAGAATGAAATAAATTCATTTTTGAATCTCCAATAACTACACCAATTATTTTATTATACAATACTCTTGTACGTACTGAACGCTCAAAGGGTTAAACTGCGCCGAAAAGTAAGAGCTTCGTTCTACAAATTTAATCACGAAATATTATTCTTCGAAAAAGAACTCCTATTGCATGTACAAGAAATTATCGATTAATTGTCATTTGATATTTTTTGTAATAATGACGCAATAAAGCGAGACAAAACGAGATTTTCCAAATGTGGATCTACGTAACTTTATTTGTAACTTTTGAATCACATGATGTTACAGAGGATTAAGAAAGAACGCGCGTAAGAGAGTTCTATCCGCTTCAATGTGTGAGATAGAAAAATTTCGGTGGTATTTCTTTTTATGTACAGAGAAAAGCGACGCGTTAAGGGGTTGTTAACAGAATCGATTCACCGTGGAAAACTGACGAAATCGATACTCACGGTGGATATGGAACGCGTGTTTGCGCATTATAAGCTATCCATTGTGACGAGATAAAGCGGTGTTTGTACAGAAAGGCTCCCTATCAACTTTGCAAAGGCTTCGAACACGCACGTTCACGCACCGCAGATTCGTTTGGAAAAAGTTACCTTACAAGCGGATTACACCGTGTGTTCGCCAGTTAAACAGAGTCGCAGAATTAAATGAAAACTCGTTACAAGTGGCACACGCAACGAAACATACCGCGCAACAACGCCAGACACAAGGTGTTAATCACTTGTTAAACCAATGTCAGGATTCGTGTTACATGTTAAAAATGTTTGAAGAGATTGGCGAACATAGCAAGGATACAGATTGAAAGAAACAAGAAAAGGAAAACAAAAAGGTATCGATGGAACAATTACCTCTGTTGAAGCAGGTACTGAGCCATTTGTATCTGACTCGGTAACCCAGTTATAGTGATAATGCGATCGTTACTACCGGACAACGGCTCGTCTATAGTGATTCCGGCGCCACTGTCTGATCTCACTTTCCGGATTCTGGCACCTCCCTTGCCGATAATGGCCCCAGCGAGCTGTCAACGCGAAGAACATTGAACGTTAAACACCACTTTTAAATCACCCATCGATTTAACGCGCTGCAGTTCTTTAATATTTTTTTTTTTTTCTTTTTTTATTCCACTTACGTCCTTGGGAATTGTGACTTGAGTGGTGGTCTTGTTTCCACCCATGTTGCCTTGATTCCCTTGATTGCTACCACCCATGGGTGGACCACTCATGCCCGAGTTAGCACCGCCACCCAAACCGTTTGGCGCGCCTCCTTGCATACCCCATCCATCACCTATGTGAACACAATGATCATAGGAGTGCAGATGTTCTCGAGAGGAAAGCAAACAGTGCCGTTTGCCTCATTTGTTCGAAATTTCTGGCCAAAGGCTCGCCATTAAATCTAACCGCGGTCAAAATTATTTACAGTGCGATATAATTTCAAGCCACTTTGCACGACACTGTCGTGTTAATTTCGAATCTGATCGAAAGGTGGTTTTGGGGAAAAAGAAGTGGTTTTTAGTATTTAATGATCAAGTATAAACAATCCTTAACATTAAAATCCCTAACCATTGTAATTTCCAGCGTACGGTGGCGGGCCACCCCTGTTGCCTCCATAGCCACCTCGTCCACCTTCGTATCCGCCGCCACCAGCGCCGCCTCCTCCGCGAGAATTGCCCCCGTAGCCACGATCCGGTGGCCCGCCAGACATTCCGCCGCCTCCGCTGCCTCCGCCGCGCGGTCCACCTCTAGGTGGCGGTGGAAAGCCGCGATTCATGTCGCCTGGCCCACCGGCACGGTTGTCGCGACGCGGTGGCATACCTCCGCCTCCGCCGCCGCCGCCGCCACCACCACCGCGACCTCCTGGACCACCGAAGCCACCACCTTTTCCTTGGCCACCGTCGCCGGTCCCATAACCGCCGTAATCGTCCGCATAGTAATCGTCGAAGTTGTGCGGATCGTAAGGATTGTTCACACCTTTCAGCGGAGACTGGAATAATCAAAGAGAACGTTTGTCATTGGATTTGATAATTATTTTTTTCCGTTCAAAGAGTCGCTTTCGCGCGTTTCTAAGTTTTCTTTTTCTTTTTTTTTTAAATGAAGAACATACATTTTGCATGAGGAATATGTGCTAATTTACTGTTCAAGAAGCCATAAATCACGTTTCATCAAAAAATACTTGCTATGCAAATACTCCTTTAGTATAAAATTTTCAGTTGATGGAAGATCTGAGTCATTATAATAGAACTATTGATTCACTTAATTCAGGAAATTAAAATCTGTCTGTTTTACTCTTTTCGCGCGATGGATCGCATTGTTTGTTCTATTTTTGCATATTTGAAGTTGTTCGACGTAACAGAGTCTATTTGAAGAAGAAGAAAAATCATTTCATTTTTCTTGTTTCGCGCTTTTAATTTCTAAATGTTTGAATCTGGGAGAGGAATGTAAGGAATTTATTATTTTACGTTTCTAATGTTTACATTTAATTATTAATTAACTGGCAGCAAGATAAAGAATTGAAACTTACGGTTTTAATAGTAGCGATCAGCTCGCGAATGCACTCAATGCACGTGGTCGGCTTGCCACAGATGCTGATCAGCCGGTCGGAGCTGTGAGGACAGCAGTGCGAGTAGATCTTGATCCTCGCTCCGGTTTTCTGCAATATAGAAAAATGAACACGGTTACAAAGACCATACAGCTTAATTTGAAAAATTGCTGAACGAACGAAAACTCGGGGATGATCTCGCGAGTGCCGAGAAGCAACGGAAGCAAAGAAAGTGAAACATCAACCGAGACCGATCGCGGATTGTCGCGTTTCCTTCTCGCTCGATAACTCGAACGTCGCGTCATGGCGATTCTTCAGGCACCAATGGTCGGATCGCGTGCCTCGAGTTGTTTAACAGCCAATCCTCTTGTTTCCCGAGTCTGTGTGCTTTCAAAGACAGGGTCGAGTTAAAAGCGGTAAACGCAGTCATTTGGTTACCTTTCATTCGTCTCGATTCTTTCTCGCCCAACAGGGAACGCGCTCTGATTTTTGTCGAGGAACGTTTCAACGCAATTATCATGCCAAGGTACCTAGTTTCTCGCAGGAGACATTTTTATTTAATGAAAAGGAAGAAAATCACGAAATATCAAAATCGGCGAGTTTCACAAGTATCACACAACATTCTAAATTCTCTGTTTGCGATTTTTCCCTAGCCTCGATCCGTATGTCATTGGCACCGAGCTCGAAACAAAGTTCGAATCGCGTGAGAGAGAGAGCTTCGATGGAATCAGCTATTACTCGCCGTGATAATCGGGAGGGGATCATAATGAAAGGAGAGCCGGTGATTAGGAACGAGCTGGCAGATGTAAAAGGTAATTGCACCTCTGTCGTTCGTGCTCGTCTAGGCCGATGGTCTTCAACGTCAGCGACCACGGCGTCCGAGTCTCTAGATTCTAACGAAGTGGAAAACTTCGCACCCCTTTCTCGATTCCTACACGGGGATACACTGAATTCGGCTAATTACAATTGCCGAAATCTGCCGTTTACTCCTTGAAAATTGCCTTGAAAATTGAACACTTCGCCGAATGGATGGGAGGAAGAGAGAGAAAGAGGAGAGGGACGAGGAAAAAAAATCGACGAAAGGCAATCCAATCTGCAGAGATACGTCCGCGGCGACGGATATTCGACATTGTGTGGAAATTGCACCGTTTAATTACGTAGATCAAAGCGAACGAAGCGTCGTCCGCTTCCCTCGCTTCCATTCATCCGTTTCCGAACGCAGACATCCGGTCACGTAGAACCGGCGGATCGCTTTCACCGGAGACAGAGCCTCGGCTGATCACTGCCAACCCTCTGCCTCCCTCGGTTCCACCTTGTTTCTTTCGAGATATTAAATACTTCCGGCTATCAACCGGCACTTGGACGTTGGTATTTGTTTCGAGACGCTTTCCCGACTCGATCAGCTTCAAATAAATTGCCGGCTTCACGTATTTCCCGTAGAAAGAACGAACGCGGCTATCGTTACGTTCGCAACTGAAGATGAATTAACGAAGAGGAGGATTCAACGTTCCGCACGGCAAGAAATATTAATAACGGGTCGAATGTTAATAAAATCTCTGTCATTTTGAATCAAAGCAAAGGTGAGTTTTAGATTACACGTAAACTGTATGCAAATGAGATACGCGTAAACTGTATGCAAATGAGTTATATAACGTACTGCAAATATGACTGAGCGACATACAGGTAGATCTTTTTTTTTAAAGTAATAAATTTACTTTTTATACAAAAAGGCCATTTTATCGTACACATCACATCGTCAACGGTGTTGCAACTTTTCTATGTACCAAAGAGCTTTTCATGCTTTTTATCCATGAAAGAAATATTCAAACAATAGCAGAAATTCATTATCTTAGAACAACGTTCGCCCGTGTGCGTGATACATAAAAACTTATCACTTATAACTATGAGGTGTAGAAATCCTTTCATTTACTTTTGTGGCTTACACGGAAACAATATGATTATATATTTTTATGCGAAGTAAATAAATTTTATCCGAATATTGTTACGTATATAATTCAGAAATCCATATATTTGCACATCATTTAATTGCTCTCGACGATTTGAGAACACGTAAACATAGAATGTTCTTAGATACATAATAAAATTTAGAAGTAGAGAGCGATCCAGTACTTATTAAGGTTATTCTTTTATAATAGAATTCGCTATTACTATCTGCAGATAATCCCTGAAACCAATATCCCGCGGACACGCGAGTTCCATCGTGATAATATAACACCGCACGAACAAAAACCGTCCTATTACTCGAAAAATCAATACAAAAATCAACTGACAGAGTTCTCTCTTGTTGCCAGATTTTCTCTACAGTGTAAATTTACTATTTATCGTTCCACAGCTTCCCGGAGAACTATACCGACACACCCGATATTAAAAACGATGCGAACACGACTTCGGTAGTTTTATCGATAACGTAGTCCTATTCTGTGTAAATGATTACGCAAACAGATCATGCATTTTCATCGAGTTCGAATAACAGCGAACTTCGACACCGTAAGGAGAAAAAATATGCCAATTCAGTTGGTTCCTAACTTCGACAACAATCACTTCGAATATATATACGTCACAGGAAAAAAATCAAAGTTGTGAATCGCATTGCTTGAAAACTTTCTTTCGCAGGTAAGTTTGTCGATTATTTTAACGCGAGAGTAATAATTTATATCATAATATTATACACACATCGACCGGAAATTTTATAAAATTATGGAGTTAAATGAAAAACGTAATAACAAAGAAATATCATTGCAAATCATTGAGGTTCTCCTTCGTAGCTTCAACATTTAAAATCGAATTGTACGTCGAATACGAATTTTATAATACGTACGATCAATTGATCGAAAAGAATTACTAACGAATTGTTAACGTACTTAACGCGCTTAAAATGTTACTTGTATTTTTATTGCATTATCTTGTTCTCTTATCAAACAAAACGTAAATTTCTTTTATCACTTTGTAAAATCTCGAACTTATTTCAAACAGCGACCAACTAGACCGATAGTCATGATGACGTGGCGGAATACTATTGTTAGTGTATTATAGTTTCCAGAAAAATATTCGAGCTCTGACTCATCAATGTTTAAACGAACGAACTTCGAATGTCGCACAAAATATTCGACTTCCTCAAAAAAA